TTTTTTTTTTTTTTTTTTTTTTTTTTACAATATCTATGTTTGTTGGTTATTCCATAGTTTTCGTTTTATTGAATGGTCGTGTTTCGTTGACTTTTGAGTGAAGTCCATTAATTGTGAGAAAGGCATATATATAGATGAAACTACGAAGAACAGAGCATCCAAATCCATGAACAAACTAACTGAAATTAAAGGCAATACAGAAACCACAAAGCTTTCCCATCTTCATTCCAAGTACGTCTCCATCACGTCCGAGTACATACCCGCCTGCTCCGACGAGTTTCGGTATTCGACCGATTGATGTGGATGATGGTCGAGGGAAGTTGAAGACGACGACGAAGCCATTCTTGCAGGCAAGGTAAAGCTTCTCTTGAACTTGTTTTCCATCTTCCTACTATTCTCAGATTGGCTATCTAGGCTCAAGAACTCGTTCGAGTTACCTCCGTTCGGGTGTTGAGTTTGATCAGGTTTGGTTCCTAAGCTCTCTGGGTTGAATAGAAGCTTGGCGTCATCGGCACGTCCAGTGAGGGCATTGAACAAAGACAACCCATTTGGCCATTTGATATCATTGTCGTGATCACCCATCACGTCTTCCATTCGAGCTTCGGACGAATGCGGTAACAGAAACATGTGTGTCTCGTCTTTCGACTGCGGGAAACCGAGCCTATTGGAGGCGTGGAAGTTGGGTGAAGGAAGGAGGGATGTTGGAGGAGATGGGATTGGCCTTTGTGCCCAATTGAGGAGGCTGGGAGGTGGGTGAATGGGTATGGAAGGTTGCTTGGAAGCCATTGGAGAAGAGGATGAGTTTCTATTTGAAGAAAAGAGTTGAGTCAAATAATAACCAGATTGGTACCCAAGTGATTCAAAAGTATGCCTCATTCTCAGCACAAAATGCAGATCTTCGGGTATCTGAATTCAAATATAAACAATCAATTTTCCTCGAGGATTGGTATCTAATATAAGCTCAACGCTATCTCATACGTGCACGAACGGATATCAACACGATATCTGAATGCAAATATAAACTCAATTTTGCTCAAGAATTGGCATGAACTCATATCTAGTCTAAGCTCAACACTATCTCATACATTCACGAATGGATATTAACACGATATTTGAATACAAATATAACCAATCAATTTTCCTCGAGGATTAGCATGAACTCATATCTAGTCTAAGCTCGAGGCTATCTCATACGTGCACGAACGGATATTAACACGATATTTGAATACAAATATAAACAATCAATTTTCCTCGAGGATTGGCATGAACTCATATCTAATCTAAGCTCAACGCTATCTATCCATGCACGAATGGATATTAACACGATGAACAACGGTTCGGAGACAACAACCAAACAATAAAAGGCATGGAGGAAATAAGGGAAAAGGAACTAACAATCTTGCAGGAACCAAGTTGAAGGAGGCCATGTCCAGCTTGAATAACAGCAATGGTCTGATTCAAACAGAGCAAAATAATCAAAAGGGAAAACAAGAACAGGTAAAACACCATTAAGATTAGCCAAGAACTCACCTGAATTCCTGAATCAAACTGATCAGTCCACTCAGGAGGAAGCTGCAAGATATCAATCAAGGAAAACAAAGACAAACCCATCAACGTTTTGATATCAATGATGAAGAACAAATCAAAATGGATATCAAAAACTCATAACAAACAAGCTTTGTGCTATCTTCTTTTGTCCATACAGCATCAAATGAACTTTGCCAGTAATTTGAAATGTTTGGCTCGCATTCTGTGGGTTCTTTGAACACCCATTTATGGCACTTATCTGATGCAACTTTCCCCATCAGCCTGTTCGAATCAATCCAATCAGAAAACAAGAACATGAACACAAAAAGCCTATAGAGAGATGAAAACAAAGCAAAAACAAACACCTACCCAGTACCCACCCTTCTCCATAATTATATAGCTGAATCGACATCTTGCTGAAGGCTTTTCTAACAGGATCATCCCCATCAATCTCCTCCAAGCACTCTGAAACTCTCCCTCGGCAAAACCCATCTTCCCACATTAGCATCCTTCACAAAATTCAGTGCAAACTTCCCCTCAATTCATTGAGTAATGAACAAAAATAACATAAGGGTTAGTGGTTAGAACTTACAAGCTGCCATTGTCGTCCCCAACTTTGCATCCATTCCCTCCTCTGATTCTTCTGTGGAGATTTGAAAAGAACCCATTACACAAAAATGGCTCATAAACGAGAAATGAAAAGAACCCATTACAGAAAATGACTCAAAAACAAGAAATGAAAAGACCCCATTACAGAAAAATGGCTCAAAAACAAGAAATGAAAGGAACCCATTACAGAAAAATGGATCAAAAACAAGAAATGGGGAAGGGAAAAGAGAAGGGAAGGAACATACGGACGAGGGCGGATTGTCCAGAAAACAGAGTAAGTCCAGTCTGAATTGAGGCAGACGGTTCTAAGGGCCTCGTGAAGGGCCATCATCCCAACAGCTTCTTTGCTCCTGTCTGAAGCTCCTGACCCCACCATCTCTGGCCCTTCCTTCTTTCTCTTTTACCTTTCTTTCGCTTACAAATTACACTCAACTACACCCCTCTGGGTTTTGGGGTTGTTGAGAGGTTCCCCGGCGTTGTTTTCGCCGCACAAAAACTAGACAGCTCGTTCTTCATTCATTGATGTCGAGTTTTGAGGTCTTCTTCTTCCTTCTTCTCTCCTTTTGTTTGTCCCAAATAAGCAGGTTTTGTAAGCTCTAGCAGACAAGGGAGTGGAGAGGTGGGGGGAAAAAAACAAAGAACAGAAGAGAAAGAATGGAAAAGGGATTTGGGTTGGTCCTTGTATGAATGTAACTAAACTATGTAAAATAGTAGTGGGGCAGCT